ATGAACACCATCATAGTCACCAGATGTCTTCCTGTAAGCAAGAGTTGCTTGTATTTGTTTTCAGTACCTTAAAATGCTCTCATCTCCTTAGAAATATTTATAGCAGAAAAGCAAACAGTATCCAGGATGGAAAGATACAAAGACCATCAAGTTCCGGCATTGGGCATGCAGAAACTCATGCAGCATTGCCTTGAACAACACAATCTCTTTCAAGGACAGGTCTGAATTAACTCTACCTCTATTTCCAAATAGATTAATCTGGCTAACCTGTTTGTCTCATAATGTAAAAAAATTGTGTACTATGTCTCAGAAATGGTTTTAATAACCTCTTATTGCTGCCATAAACTCCTGCTTAGTACATGTCCCTGTAGCTGCTTCTGATGCCCGGTGAAAGCTGTAGAATTGTGTAGAATTTGTTTTCTGTTCCTGCATCTTTCAGTACATTAAGGCTACGAGTCTAATTCCTTGCTTTTTGTTCTTTGTTCCCAACAGCTTTGAATTTTGGGTATTTCCATCAGATTTTCTTAGGACCGAGCTGCTCAAATCTAATCTTAATTGCATTGCTGTTGCTTTCTAATGTTTCCATATAGGATGCTTTAAACAATGTGAGAACAGCCGAGCCCTCCGTATGTCTGTTACATTGTCTAGATCTACCCAAAATGACATTTGTTACCTATGGATAGGTTATAATAGAGGTGGTAAGACGGCACCCAAACTACATCCTAGTTAAAACACACCACGCTGGCTTTCTAGTCGCTAGCACATGGTGAAATCTATGCTGTCACATTTTTCCCTTAAACACAGCTAGATCTAGTGATGTCTCAGCCATCACCTCCTCCCCTCTTGTTGTAGGTGTATCCCCCCCTAAATGGCCAAGAAGTCTCAGTGTAAAGACAATTACTTGGTCCCGATTTCCAAGTTCCATGATACCTTCTCTTCGATGCTTCATTTGCAGGTGAGACTCCAGTGGTGGATGATGACAAAGCATCACGTTCTGTTGTTTTTGAGATCCTTCAGAATGTTGTTACGGGACAAACTGCTGCTGAGCAAACAGGGAACAGAGGAGAAAACACTTCGGTGTACTGCGGCAAAACCAAAGTATTTATGGCTAATTCTGTGGTAAGAGTGCTATTTCCGTGGCTAACAGTTCTGGAGCGTACCTGCATAATGGGGATTCTGGCACAGATTATCATCGTGGTTTAGGCGATACTCCTGCTAATGCCAGTGTGACCAGAATTTGGCATTTTTCTTCAAATTATTAAACTATATCAAAGATCCATCAGAATCCAGCTATCAGAAGCACTTTGTTTAATGGCGTCCTTGTTGCTAATGGACAAGGAGCTGCGCTTGTGTCTACTGTTGTCAGTATCCTCCCAGTTCCAGTAAAGATTACAGCTTTCCTTAGCTTCAGCTGACAGACTTGGCTACTCTGACAGGCCTAAGCAGCTTCTTTGTGAAAGAGATGAAGGAGACGAAGGCACTTTTGCAAAGCTTGCATACTGGAGGATGCAGCCATAAAAGAACCCCCTTCAACGGAGCTAGTTTTAAGCCAGCTGCTACTGTGACTTTGGGAGTGTCCGCTTTCCCCTCTCCACAACACCCTTTTCCCCCTCAGATACTTACATTTTCATTTTACGTGTTATCTAATAAGCACTAATGAAGTGCTCTCACTTCTAAAACCTAATCCAGCAGTCTTAGGACACTGAAATGTGCACGTGGTTTTTCTGACAAACACCAGGAGGCTGTAGGAGAGGGAAGAGTTGTGAACACAACTCCGTCCCCGAGTATTCACTGCAGGCTCGTATCCCCAATGCAGCTGGAGCAACTTGAAGCTAGAAGAGCAGAGGTGTTAAATGAGAAAGCATTTTGCATTCAGTGTTGCTGGAGGAGATTTAAACAGAAGAAACTAGCGAAGGAGAGATGGTCTGCAACCGTCATCCAAGCAGGTAATTTGATAAAGGTGTGGCTGAACATAACGTAACATTTCCAGTTACGCTGGATGTTTAAAGTGGCAGGAGTGGTTATGTTAATTGAAGATGGAGAAAGCTTAAGTGCCATCTCTCTTACCTTGTGTGCAAGGGCTTCCAAGATTCTTTGTACTCAGATTTCTTTTAATTAAATCTTCAGCTATTCGTTCCTGGTTAGCCAAGAATCGCTTCCAAAGGATGCGCAGGGCTGCTAATGTTATTAAGCATGGCTGGAGGAAATGGAAGGTAAGTACGTTGGTACAGGAAAGCATTAAAATGGAGTGACTGAGGCTTTTTAGTGTTTGAGAAAGAATCCACCTCTGTCAATTAACTGTACAAAACCAATACTGTAAATTCTCCAGAAAACTCTTCTCAAGCTGAAGAGTAGAAGACGGATGCCAGTCTCGTACAGCTGCTTCTACAGGGTGGCAGCGCAGAGACTGCAGAATGAACTCGTTCCTTACCTTCATAAAATGGGAAAGTGTCCCAAAGGGTGTCCTATCCTTTAAGATGCCCTTTTTTAGACTGTTAGTTTTGCAGTTTTAATTTTTGTTCAAGATGTGTGAGAATCTTGTTCAAGAATGTTGTTCTGCATCTCTTCATCAGGCAAAAATGGTTGCGTTAGCAGCAGCAGAATTGGATGAGGGTGAAGAAAAGGCGTTCTTCGCAGTTCCTGGAGCTACGGTGCTCTCGGCCAAATCACCTTGCTCTTTGGAAACAACTTGGCCTCTGCATGCAATAATTCAATTCTGGCCTCTTGGCCTTGTCCTGGCTGCGGCACCTGTTACTGTAACGGGACTTCGGAGAGACCTGTCCCTGCTGGCATGCCTCAAAGTACTTCAGGAGAGCAACTGCTACAAGGTGGAAAGCTGTTTCTTTGGCTGCGGCATCACTTCCATTAGAGCTCTCCCACAGGTAACATACCTCGCGCACTTGAGTCATCAGCACAGTTAAGCTGCCGTGAGTTCAGGAAGCTGAACTCTGCTATCAAGCAGAGCAACTATGAAGTCTGCTCTCGAGCTACAGTCTTCCTTTTTCCACTGGCTTAGACGTGCCAGATGACTATTGATGACTCCGGCATCAATAGGTCAAGCTAGGCGCACACAGCTGGGTTGAGGCTTTCAACTCTTGTTAATCTCTGTCATAGGAACTGATCAAAGTTCTGCTTCAGAAATGGAGAGCAGAGCATTCTAACGCGGGCTCTGCTATTACGTACTACATACTTTTTCTGCTTGGGGGATTCAAGTTGCACAACAGGTGAACACATGAAAGAGCGTCCACTTGGGGAAAGGCCACCGGGTGTATTAATAATATCCCAGTAATTCTGCATTAACTTCACTGTGCAGACAACTGCACAGACTAACTCAGAAAGAGGATTTTCAGGGCAGAAAGCGGGGAGCAACCCTCAAGTACTTCATCTCCTACACACATGCAGAATAGTCTTAGATACCTGTGCTGGTTTTGGCTGGAGTAGAGTTAATTTTCTTCCCAGTAGCTAGTATGGGGCTGTGTTCTGGGTTTGTGCTGGAAACAGTGTTGATAACACAGGGATGTTTTCGTTATCGCTGAGCAGTGCTGACACAGAGTCGAGGCCTTTTCTGCTTCTCACACCGCCCCGCCAGCGAGCAGGCTGGGGGGGCACAAGAAGTTGGGGGTGTGCTGTTTAGCTGCCTACCAGGTTAAACCACAACAATACCATTTACTACAAACAAGCCACAACCCACACTGGCTTCTCTCAGAAGTCGCACTCTGGTTACCAATCACCTCGTGCCTGTGCTTGGGTTTTTTGTTGACAATTTTAGGCAACCTCAAAAATTTATGTGTGCAAGAATGTAGCCTGTGCCTGGTCACAGTTACTACGAGTAGGAAGAAGCAGTACCAAGTCCAGTACTGACTAAATATGCAAATCTGCAGAGTTTAAGCTAATTTCAGTTCAAATTACGGTATTGGTACTCCTTGTAGTCATCATTTCTCTTAAATCCATTTGTACTAGGACTACTTTGGAGGTCTTCCTCTATCCTTATTCATGTTCACTAGTTGCTTATATACTAAAGCACTTAGTTTGAATAGTAAAATTAGCTCAAAATCTGGCAAAAACATCAGCTGACCTCTCCACCTCTTTTTCTTGTAGGGCTCTATCAAGTTTCACTGCAAGAAGTCTCCCCTGCATTACGCAAATGTCAGCCCCCATACGGATGCCTGTTCCATCACTGGACTTAACCAGATTTTATTGGACAGAAAAAACCTCCTTCCAACATAGGTTTTGGCCATCTGCATACACTGTACTTTTTCCTTCAGGGAAGGACTGTCTGCAAGCTGCTGCTTTCAAATTACTCAACGTCCATATCCGCTGCTACCTCAGAGCTTTCTATATTGATGCATTGTACATATAATATACTTCAAATTTAGAACACGTGGGGGGGGGCATTCCTCCTCTCACACACATGCACATATTAGAGGAAATACAGTACTATGAGAACACTCAACATAATTAAAATAGATCAAGTGCTTTAAGCAATATATACTTGAACTGAACACTTCTGGCACTACCTGGGAGAAGCAAGAGGCTGGTAATGAGAGAACAAATAAGGCAAACATTTCTGATGCGTGCTGGATTCTCGTATGGAGGTACAGCTAAAACTATTCTGACTGACCACGAGCGTTCAGTAACATCATAACACTTCTGACTGACTGAGGAAGCGAGCAGCAGTCAACTGTAACACTAACAGCAGATGTCTCAGGGAAAAGTGAGACTGGACTCTTGCTTTTTTATCTATAGGACCAAAATATATGTGCTCTCACAACTGCCACGCATTTCTAGCGCTACCTAGTCAACAGCATTACCTCTGCCAAGGGGCCAGGGTTCTCATCAGAAGCGCTCTATACTGTCTCTTTGTTGCTCACATGGATCTTGAAAACGTTCAGCTCTTTTGTGTATGCCACTTTTAAATAAACTGTTAAATACCATGTAAAGGTGTCTGACCATCCGCAACAAGGTTTAGTTAACAAAAACACTTCAGATTAGTTTGTGGGTTAAAATAAATGCAAATATATTTAATATAATTGTTACTGGGAAGCAACGTTTCCCATGGCTGACAGTATTTCTGTACCAACAGAAAGCAAGTCCACAGAACATCAAGTTTAATTCCTAATATCTAGAAATCTGTCCAAGACAACTATGTCACTGCTGATCAACTCTAAATTGAAAATTAGAGCACTGACATCCGTGAGCAAAGTGTGACCAAACCTTGAGGGAACACACGGAATGGTGCACCACAGTAGCACGCGGTGCTGTCAAATCTCTTCTGTCAGAGGGAAGAACTCTCAAGGAAAGAAAAACGTTCCCAAAGTAGCTCACTCAGGAAGAATGTTCTCCTTCTCTGGAGGTTCAACAATTCTCAAACAGCAGTCTGCAAACTCAACAAATAATGGCTCCTGCATGTACTTTTTCATGAGGGAGCTTTTATCTTCTGCTTGATCGATTGTCAGCAGTAGCTGCCTGAGGTGTGGGTTCAGAAGCAAGCCTCTCAGTTCTTCCGATTCCCCTTTAAAAGAAAAAAAAAAAAACAACAGTACTAATCTCAAACAGTTACAAATGCGGTTGAGACCACCCGTACTTTGCAAATAAGCTTTCAAAGAGACGTGGTGAAAGGCGAGACATGGTGAAAGGCCAGGTATCCGACATTTAAGTCCTTAAGGCCTTGTCTTGTGATGAAGTGCACGACTGGGATAAACTGCAGCGCTCCACGAAGAGTTCACGGGAACTGTGAATCTCTCTGCTCGCTTTGCCGAAGGCCGGCCACCGCCTCCGCACCCGGCCGACTTCCGACTGCTCAAGATTACCTAAAAGCTTGAGCTTCTGCAGCGGGACGCGGTCCTGCTCGTCGTCTTCCGTCAGGATGTCCTCCACCGACCGGGCGCTGTCTGCGGGCGAGGACAGCAGAGCTGCGGGGGGGGGCGGGGGCCGGGGACGCCCCGCGCCCTCACGGCCCGCCCGCCCCACCTACCCGCGTGCCGCCCCGCGCGGGTCGGC